CAGCGCATTTTCCATTTTTCTACATGGTCCTACTGGTAGCCCTCATTATCGTGTGCTACACGTCCCCCCAATTTTTTAACATCTGGGGAACGAATGGTTTAACCCAGGGGATCGGTGCAAGGAACGACCGACCCCACCCTGCACCCGAGTGTGAAGAAGGGAAAAAAAAACAAAAGGAGAGGGGGGGGAAACAAAAGGAAAAAAAAAAAAAAAACATATGTGACAAGGCGGGAACTGTAAGCAAGCAGAAGGTGGGAACGGCGTTGGAGAGAGAGAGAGAGAGAGAGAGAGAGAGAGAGAGAGAGAGAGAGAGAGAGAAAAAAAAAAAAAAAAAATCCTTGCGACTCGCCAGGATTTGCTCTCTCTCTCTCTCTCTCTTGTTCACGTTCTTTTTTTCTTTTTCTTTTTTTCTCCAAGCGGATAAATCTCTCTAGCGTCTCTCTCTCTCTCTCTCTCTCTCGTTCCTCCTCTTCTTTTTTCTTTAAAAAAAAAAAAAAAAAAAAGGTTGTGATCTTTTGAGGAAAAATATTAAAAAAATGAAAAAAAAAATTGTTTTGACGGCGAAATAAATCGCGGCAGCGATTCAACGCATTTTCCATTTTTCCACGTGGTCCTACTGGTAGCCCTCATTATCGTGTGCTACCGGTCCCCCCAATTTTTGAACGTCTGGGGGACTGGTGGTTTAACCCAGGGGGTCGGTGTAGGGAACAACCGACCCCACCGTGAGTGTAAAGAAGGGAAAAAAAAAAAAAAAAAAGNCAGCTAGGGAACTCGATGTCGAATTCTCACTCCAATGCCATTGGTCTGAAACAGAGTACAGCATACGGTAATTCTTGCTGTATCTAGACTCAAAGCAGCCCCAAATACAGCTACAGTGAACGTACGTTGTATATGGGTGAGCACAGTAGTACATCTCTACTGTGCACTGCCTAATGGCTAGGCTGGTCCTATGGGTATGTTTGCAATATGTTGGTGCCAGGAGGGTACCAGTATAAAAATCTAAGGGACAGAAGCAAAAAAATGTCGAAGATCCTGCTCCCAAGGACATAACAGGAATATAAGTGTCCGGCGGTACCAAGCATGGGGCCCAGGGATCAAGAACGGTCGGCATGGATCCATGACAAAAATGCCCCCTTTATTATTATTATTATTATTATTTATTTATTTTTTTAAATGCCCCCTTTGATGTGCACTGTGGTGTGTCTGACCCCTTTTCTTTTTTCCTTTTATTTTTTTTTTGATTTGACCCTTTTCATTGACAATGTGCCTATGCATAGAGAAGTAGGGCCTCGCTGCACCACTGACCACACTTGCCTATGACACAGAAATGCGCACCGGCTTATTGTACACCGTTAGAACGTCTTAGAGTGTACGCAGACTACCAGTATCGTAAGTGTGTCGGACCATTATTTCGGCCGGATCGGGATGTATCTGACCGTAATTCCGTCCAGAAAGTAGTAAAGAATTTGATGTATCTGACCATAATTCCGTCCGGAAAGTAACTGTTGCCCTTAATTCAGCTAAGTATATAATGAGCACTTTTTTTTTTTTTTTTTTTTTCTTCTTCTATTCAGGGGAAGACAGTAGTGTGAGTATGGCCTTTTCCCGAAAAAAAAAGAAAAAAGAAAAAAAGTATGGCCTTAGATCAAAGCCCATCATGCATGTGTATTATGTAAACATCTGAAAGGGAGGTTCTCAAAACTTTCAAAAAATGTTGCAATCTGCTCTTAAAAAGAGGGGGTAGTCTGTTCTGCTCTAAAAATGTCTCCTGGATTCTGGGGACTCCTGGCAACCTTGTTTAGGTGGTACTGAGGCTGTTATACTCGGTGACCTGCGGCTGTTCAATGCCAGAGCGACGCTGGCCGGTGCTGGGGCGTCGCCCTGTAACCTGCTGATGCAGGAGCATGAGGCCTGGTAGAGAGATCTGGGGGTGCTTTGGGGGGGGCACTCCACGGGACAACCAAGGGTTGCTGCTGGGACGACGCTGGCCGGAGCTGGGGTGAGTTGTGTTACCCTGTAACCCAGCAGGATGAGGGATTGTGAGGCCTGGAAGAGTTCGGCAGGGAGTAAGACAGTGTCGGAGAACCTTGGAAGGTTGTGTTAAGGATTTTTCGCGGGTTCAGGGGCATTTGCAGGACTTCGGCAGGCTATTCCCACATTTTTCGAATAACGGTAAGTTTTCTCAGATTTCGAATAACGGTAAGTTTTCTCAGATGGCTTTTCAGCCAAGCCGGGTAACAGGTAAGAGAGGGATTGAGGATAGTGAGAGAAAGACACCATGCATCCTACTAGTGAAGGGGCCAGCTGGTAGGATAGAAATAGGGCATAGCAGCAGTAGAGATGGTGGCTTTGCTGCAGTAAGTCTTGCCGGAGTGTGGTAAGAGGACTGATGGTGGATCCTCGAGGGTTTTCCGAACTTTGTCTGACTTTGAAGTTTCCGGCAAAAAGATCTGGAATAGTTCTAAAATTCTTAGTAGGCTCCTAGTCTTATTTTCATGGAATTTTCTGAATTTTCTGATGACTTTTCTGAATGTGACATCTAGATGTGTATAAGAGACAGAAAGGGGAGAGTCCGAGAGCTGGCAAGGGGAAACAGCAGAGGCAGAGAGAGAGAGAGAGAGAGAGAGAGAGAGAGAGAGAGAGAGAGAGAGAGAGAGAGAGAGAGAGAGAGAGAGAGAGAGAGAGAGCAAATCCTTGCGACTCGCCAGGATTTGCTCTCTCTAGGATTTGCTCTCTCTCTCTCTCTCTTGTTTGCCCTCTTTTTTTTTTTTTTCTTTTTTTTTCCAAGCGGATAAATCTCTCTAGCGTTTCTGTCTGTCTGTCTGTCTCTCTCTCTCTCTCTCTCTCTCTCTCTCTCTCTCTCTCGTTCCCCCTCTTTTGTTTTTTTTTTTGGGTAACTACGGCACAGTCACGAAAGCAGTTTGTAATTGCATTTGAAACTGCGATTTAGCAGTTAAGTCAAGGTCCGAGTTTCAATTGCAGTTGAAATTCGGGCTGCGCAGTTCAGTAAGGGCCCTCGTCTATCCACGAACAGCAGATTAAAAAAAAAAAAAAAAAAAACATCCCTTATGCTGTGATTGCGGTCCTATACAGGATGCTAAAGTGTTTGTCTGGAACTGAATGAAGCGAGGCAGTAAGCTGCCTCGCGTGGAATCCGCCCTGCCTGGCTGGCAGGGCGCTACAAGGACCTCACACAAGAAAAAAAAAAGGAAAACGACCTGTTTCATGTTCCTCACTTCCTGGCCAGATACATTCCTCAAAGCACTGGTGAGGTGAGGGCCTTCCTTTGTTTGTTTGTTTGTTTGTTTGTTTGTTTGTTTGTTTTTTTTTTTTTTTTTTTTTTTTTTCTCCATTTTTGCGTGTCATCCTTGCGCAGGACGTAGGTGGATTCGAAGTTCCTCGTTTCTTTACTTTTTTATTTCTTTTTTTTCTTTTTTCTGTTTTTGGCCTCCATCCCTGCCCCGAGCCCCCCACTTCTTCAGAGTAGGCTACTCTTGAGACTTCGCGTTTGCCTGTGAAGGGTTGTACCTGCGAATCTCGGCTGTGGCCGAGACATCTCGGCCGTGGCCCAACCATGGGGCTGTTTTTTTTTTTTTTTTTTTTTCCTCAGCCTACGGCATGCAACCCCCCAAAAAAAAGAAAGAAAGAAAAAAAAGAAAAAAAGAAAAGAAAAAAAAAGAGAAACGAAGAAAGAAAGAAAAGGCCATGTGCCTGACTGAACTGCTAGATAAAGCCAGCCCGAGTTTCAAACTGCTAAAAGGCAGTTTCAAATGCAATTGAAACTCGGGCGCTGACTAAACTGCTAAAACGCAGTTCCAAATGCAATTACAAACTGTAACCCTGACTGCGCCGTAGTTTTCTCTTTTTTTTTTTTTCCAAGCGGATTCATCCCTCTTGTTCGTAATATTTTTATTGTTTTCTTTTATTTTCATTTATTTTGTTTACGACGACTTTCCTGCTACCGGTAGCCTCCGGTAGCTCGAGGCTCGGCAAGGCTCGGCATACCAGTAGCCAGAGGGTCGGACTTGATAACTGGGAAAGGTACTGGTGGTTTTAAAAAGGCGCAGTTTCAGGCTGGTGAGTCTTGGAAGTTAGTTCCGTCAACTTAGGCTTGTGTGTTATCCTGTGGTAAACCCCCATTGTTTGGGCGTATTGGGCCAGACTCAGAATTCACAACCCCTAAGGCTGTGGTGCAGTGGGTTCCCGCATTTGTGTTTTCAGCCCAAAGGCTGCAGTGAAAAGGGACACATTTCTCTCTCTCTCTCTCTCTCTCTCTCTCTCTCTCTCTCTCTCTCTCTCTCTCCTCCACCCCCGCCCCCAAAAAAAACAAAAAAACAAAAACATAGGCCCTTAGGGCTGCGTTCCCGTGCCCCTGCAGTGTCTTGACTCCCTAAGGGTCTCCTCGCCTTGTCCTGCTCTGCCCTCTTCTGCCCTTCGGTAACATTGTCAGGCAGGCTGTTTTCCTTGGGCAGGATCTCACCGAATAGGGATTCTGTGTTCCTGGCCGTCGATCCTTGTAATCTACGGTCCCAGATCAAAGAGTCCATGCAAGTGGGACCTTGGTCCCCGGAGCCATGCCTACGCTTCCCATCGATTTTTCGCGAATTACAGGAAGTGAGGGAAGGTCAAGGGCAAAAAAAAAAGAAAAAAAAAAGAAAAAAAAAAGAAAAAAAAAAAGAAAAAAAAGAGGGAAGGTCATGGGCAAGCTCCCCTACTTACCCAGATTGCTCATTTCTGACCCCCATGGCGAAAATCAAAGGCCGGAAATAAAGAATCCCGCCGGCAAATGGGGCCATGCCCCATGAGTTTGGTACGAGCCTGTACGGGGAGAGGTTGGGCCAAGGTCTGCCTGGTGGGGGCAGTCGACGCAGCGGGGGGCGAGGATCAGTACCGGCTGTCGGCGCGGCGAAGCCAGTTCTCCGGCGGAGGGTGCTGCCCGTCCGCCGACGCGGAAGTCTCTGCGCTCGGCTCAGTTCGGCCCGGCTCGGGCCGAGGCTCGGTGGAAGCCTGCGTTGCAGCATAGCATAGCGCGCTAACGGTTGGGGGTTTTGTTGTGGGGTTTGTGCTCCGATCTGGGGGGTTTCATCTTGTTGGGGGGAGGCAGGCGGAAAAGGGAAGCCACGGTGAGGGTGTAAGACGAGGGTCCCCCCCTCTTTGATTGATTCCGACGATTTCTCTGGCCATGGCGGGCACGGGTGTGGCAGCCGCTATGGCGGCGAGGTCCTTGGGAGGTGCCGTGTGTCGGTTGTCCGCGCCGCTGCGCTGCCTGGACCGCACTGCGCGCAGCAGCGTGCGGAGAGTGGTCGGGACCGCGAGGTTGGTGAAACCGAAGGAGGTGATGAGAAGGACACCTTGCGGCGCCGATTTCACCGCCGTTGTTTCGTCGAGAGATCGGCATCTACGGTGGCTCTCCACTACTGCCACGTCAGCAGCAGGGGAGGGAGGTGGAGGAGATGGAAGTGGGGAGGGAGGTAGCCCAGGGTATAGAGAAAAAGAGCGCGAACTTACGGAGAAACTTCAGCAGGCGCTCACTGCCGAAAAGGTCGTGGTGGAGGATGCATCAGGTGCAGTCCCGGCGAAGGCCGTTCATTAATTACCCTTCCCCCGCGCACCCCGTGCCGAGCCGCAACAACCCCCCCCCCCCCCCCCCCCCCCCCCCCCCCCCCCCCCCCCCCCCCCCCCCCCCCCCCCCCCCCCCCCCCCCCCCCCCCCCCCCCCCCCCCCCCCCCCCCCCCCCCCCCCCCCCCCCCCCCCCCCCCCCCCCCCCCCGGACGCCTCCTTCCCCCACGCCTCCCCGTCCTTCTACCCTCTCGATTCACCCCAGGCCCTCATCCCCCCTGCGCCCCCCCGGCGCTCTCTTCCCCCCCTCACCGTGGCTGATTTGCGCGTCCTTGTTCTGCCCCTACCTCTCCTCCTTACCCCCCCCTCCTTTCTTGTTTCCCCCGTTTTCCTCCAATCATACCATCTTGGCGTGCTCGTCAGAATTTATTTTTTATACTTTTTTTGACTTGGAAAAAAAATGGAATAGTTAGGTCAAAGCAGGCCATTTCAGATTCGCCAGAGACAAAAGTAGCCCGGTCAGAAGGTATCGGGCCACTATGGAAGTCCAGGTGCAGATCATGCACCTGCGCACTGGAGAGAGTACGTGCATTATGACCTTACCGGATTATTTTCGTCTCTGGCTCATCGGAGCAGCCTACTTTCAAATGAATTTCCTGAAAAGGAAATAAAAGTAATGTCTGACAAATAAGATGTACATCCTTCCGGTTGGAAGTAATCAATGCCGGCCTTGGGCCTCCACACCAGAAGGGGGAGGAGCGGGAGTGTGTTCTCAATGCAATACCATCTGACTTGCCGGTGGAATAGGAACCGGACTGACGCTCCCCAGAATGGACAAGGAGCCAGGACCTTAAGGGCCTGTTAAGTTAAAAAAAAAAAAAAAGAAAAAAAAAAAAAGAGATGAAGCAGGGAAATAAGCACCGGCCAAGACACTTTTGCAAACGCGAATGAGTGTAACAACGAATGTTCAGCGAGTACTCTTTTCTCCTCAAGCTCTTGCGCATCTTTCGCTGCTGGTTTGAAGGGTTGCGCGCCCGTGTCATTTATCAGGGGCTATCCGGTCTCCCTGCCTTTGGACTACCACCTTGATTGATGCTTATGATAGTCACAAAATGTCTCCTTCGATTAGCCGGTTTTTTTTTTCCGTTCTTTTTTTTTTTTTTTTTGGTTGTGCTGAAAATGCGTCTCCTTCCAAAAGCAATTGAACGAAATATACTCGATGAAGATTGCTTCCTGGGGATTATGTCCCCCTCCTTTATCTATATCTATATTAGCTCATTCTTTATGTCTGCCGTAGATTATGAAGATCGATGGCCGGGGATCGAGAATCCCTGCAAGCGAGACCTGGGCCCTGAAGTATAACAAATAAGAGACCATGAACAAATCTTTCTATCTATCTATCTATCTATCTATATCTATCTATCTATTCATCTTATCTATCTTATCTATCTGTGTCTGTCTGTCTGTCTGTCTGTCTGTCTGTCTGTCTGTATGTCTAGCTGCACTCTGAAAAGCAGCCTCCGTCCTCACGCGCCCCCCGCGCGCACGTCTGGAAACGATCTCTACACTCAAAAAAATAAAATCGTAATGGCTACCTAGTCCCATGCCAACACGTGTAGCGAGCCCTGTCATTGCTCTGCTAACACGTGTCCTCGCTTAAGGCCCCGAAGACAGCTCCCCCCTTCTCCCCCCTTCTCCCCCCTTCTCCCCCCTCTCCCTCCCTTCCCCTCTCTCTTCTTCCCACCCTATCCCTCTTCCTACCTCTCCCTCCCTCCTTTCTCCCTCCGCCTCCCTTTCGCCTCCCTCCGCCTCCCTCCGCCTCCCTCCTGACTGTTCCCTTCCGTTCGAATGTGGAACTCTCCCTCTCTATGCTCTCCCTTTCTCTCTCTCTCTCTCTCTCTCTCTCTCTCTCTCTCTCTCTCTCTCTCTCTCTCTCTCTCTCTCTCTCTCTCTCTCTCTCTCTCTCCCCACTGTCGAGCAACCGTAGGATGCATACACCCATCTCTAAGCTCCTCTCCCTCGCGGCTGTTCCATCCCATTCAACCATGGACTCTTCTCTCTCTCTCCCTCTCCTTACTCCCTCTCCTTACTCCCTCTTCTTACTCCCTCTCCTTACTCCCTCGCTCACTCACTCACTCAGCAAGCACAGTATGCAACTGCCCATTTTGGAGTCCCCCGACTGTTCCCTCCCATTGAGCTGCGGACCTCTCTCTCTCTCTCTCTCTCTCTCTCTCTCTCTCTCTCTCTCTCTCTCTCTCTCTCTCTCCCACCTGTCCTCCTTCCCCGCCTCCCTTGCTACAAACAATCCATCTGAGAAATCTGACGATCCCACCAATGAGTATGGTGCTTGCCCTGTCCATCCATGCCAAGGCGTTCCAGATCAGCCTGACCTTTTTTTTTTTGTTTTTTTCCTTTTTTTTTTCAGATCAGCCCTCGTCCTGGGCTAGAATAAACAGGCTGGAGAAGAGTCTTTGTGAGAAAAAAAAAATAAAAAAATAAACAGGGTCTGTTTTCTCGAAAGAGCGTCTTCAGGCCTGCGCCCGCTGAAACCTAACCGCCACTTTTTAGGAAAGTTTTCCTCACACATTGCAAACAAAAAACTTCCGAATTCTCTGATCTCTATCCTTTAAAAAAAAAAAAAAAAAAATAATCCAATTTGTTGGAAACAAATGGTATAAGTGAAATGCGGCTACAGTCTTCCCCCGAATACAACGCACGGTCATTATAGCTGAATTTGGTCTATCCTTCAGTCTAAATTCAGCTATAATGACCGTGCGTTGTATTCGGGGGAAGACTGTAGCGTGCCACGTGTGAAGCTGTAAACGCTTAAAACGACGAGGAGAATATGAAATTTGTAATTTTAAAAATTTAAAATAAAAATAAATTACATGAATCTACCGGAAATGTCGTTTTGACTTCTGTTGTGGTAACGAGATTGAGGGCGTTGCCGCACGGCACACGAAACGAATGTATCTTTCCGCAGAAAATGGCCAGGTTCATCGGTTTGCTATGAATAGTAATAACGAGTGGATTTTGCCACCTTTCGTGGGCAGATGCACTCGTTTCGTTTTCGTTTTGTGTACCGTGCGGCGAGACCCTGAGAATGATAAAAGGATAATAGAGTCTCATAGTACACAACGGTTGGAACGCGACCATCTAAAAAAAAAACGACATATGGGAGGATGCCTCGTGTCAGGGTGTGCATGTGCATGGAACAAAGGAGCGAGCTTTTCTTTGTTGTTTGCTGCCGGTCCCCACCCGTAATGGTCCGGTGCACACACACACACAGACACAGAGAGAGAGAGAGAGAGAGAGAGAGAGAGAGAGAGAGAGAGAGAGAGAGAGAGAGAGAGAGAGAGAGAGCAGCTGCAGCTTTCTTTCTGTAAACGGATGTCGTTGTGGATGCTTTGCTTTTCTTGCTCAACTTCTTTTTTCGTTTTTCGTTTTTTTTTTTCGTTTTTTTTTTCTTTTTTCTTTTTTCTTTTTTCTTTTTTCTTTTTTCTTTTTTTCTTTTTTCTTTTTTTCTTTTTTCTTTTTCTCGTTTCTTTTTTCTTTTTTCTTTTTTCTTTTTTCTTTTTTTTTTAATTTTTTTAATCTTGCTCAACTTCACATACATGGAGAGGAAAACTTGCTCGTTAGAAAACAAAATGTGCTGTTGCTATTTTTAGCCCACCCCTCCTTTCTGTCGATTTAGAAACAAAAACAGACACACACAGTCCACAGATAGGTCGTCATGAGGGATGTGTGAATGAATGGATGGATGAATAGGAGTGGGTGGGTGGGTGGATGGATGGATAGATGGAGTGGGTGGGTGGGTGGATGGACGGAGTGGGTGGG